GGCAAGTTTTTTTTGGCGTGAACAGGTCTCATGTGAAGACAACTCGCATCGAATGAAACTTTGCCGGCTGGGGCTACTAAAAGTCTCTAGTCTAATTCGTTCCTCTTCCACTCCAAGCATTTTTTAAGGCTTGACTCATCATAGATATCTAAATGTGCAGTTTAAAAGAAGATAGAGAATTTCAGTGGATTGAACAATTTCTTTGGGAGAAATTATTTAACTAATTTGGTCAAGATAGCTTCCACATTCACCAGTGAGGGATATCTAACTAATTGCTTAGATCACTTCAATTTAGAGTTAAAATGTTTGGAGAAGAGATTCAATGGTCGAATCCACCAATACACGACGGTGTATTCCTCCTGGCCAGTTGACGGTTGGCTTTATTTGAACATTCTTGTTGACGCTGTGTGACGCTGAGGCAAACTCCTTCGATTCCAGTAAAGGTAGGCTACAAGCCAAGAGAGTCCTCGAAACCCAAATTTTCTTCGCATATATATCACTAGTGTCCGACACCGCAAAAGTCCAAATTTTGCCAGAGATTTCGTTAGCTCAACTGCGAAATTCAGAAATCTAAGATCCTAGTCACACGGATTGAGAAAGATAAGAAAAAAATTTGCGAGATGAATCATCTCTTTTTTATATTACCCAAGGATGGTATATTCATTCAAATAAAGTTGATGTAGCTCACACAATTGTCTGCTGCGATTGGTCACAAATGTGACAATGTCATGCTTTTTACACTGTCCGCAGCGTTTATTGCTGCCCAAGATGTAACAGTAGTGTAAACGTCGAAAAAATCATTGCCCTTGAAGCTATTGTGTAATGATCCCCTATCTTGCTTGGGAACAAATGTGTGTTTTCGCCATTCCGGGTGCCAGCTAGCTTAGGATGTGTTTCAGTAAATACTTCAAAACATAATACATTAGCATAATATTACTGCATTCAGTCATCATAAAAAGATTAGATACAAGTTATATTTGCAAGCCATCCCCTGATAATGCAATTAGGATTTGGGCTTTCCCGTCTCTATAGCAAACCAGCCTAAGCCAAAATTGCAATTTAGAAATGGGACTAGAGTTTTAAAGAGGGCAAGAAGCATGTCTTGTGAGAAAACGGTTACGATTGCAGTGGCCAATTTAGCTTGGAGGCATCCCAAGATTGGATGGATGAGTTGATGACAGGTAATGCTCTCGTAAACGGCTGAAGCGTTTTTCACGACTTTGCTTCCAAATCATTCTAATACACTGGCACTTGTGCATCTGATGCCTACAGTAGGAAGAAATGAGAACTAAATCAAATCAGGCAATCAGCGACGAAACAGAAAAGTGCCCGAACAAGCGGACTAGCAGACATGCAAATGCAGCGCAGTAATGAGAAGACCGGTTTATGCCGGAGCAACTTGGTGACGGCTCCTTAATGGACGGGGCGAGCGGATTGGCAGTTTTACATAGGACGCAGGAGATATTGCGACCAAACACAGCGTACACTCGCTCAGCCAGACTGTTGTGATCGCGTCCATAATGAGGAGGCGGGAGTGACTGGCCCATGAAGAAGCGACTGCCCACTGCTGGAGGAAGCGAGAAAGAGCACAAACTTGCGGCTGTCTGCGTGCAGCGGCAGCTGAGGCTAACGCCCTGCCATCATGTGAAGGCAGGCTATGTGGATTTGGGTTTGATGGTGCGTTCGCATTTGCCCATGTTTCTGCATCTGGTAGGTAGAGGGGGTTCTCGTGTTAATGCTCATCTCTGATGGGTGAATAGCCAATCGATGCCGAAAAGCCTGCTGAGGCTGATTGTGCGGCCGACCATTTCGCTCAGGCTACCCTTCGGGCACGTACCCATGTGCGAGAGGGCAATGTTTTGTTCTCCTTTTTAAGCATATAAACACTGCTTAGTGTGCACATACACTGGGGAGAGATAAAGAGACAGATTCATGCGCAGTCGACTACACACTCGTAAAGGCGAACATTAACATTCTCTCCAAGCGTGGCACGTGGGGAGGCATCTAAATATTTATTGGCAGACGGGATCGAGAGGCTACAGAAGAGACTGCTACGGCATCCTGTGTGTCAGTGTGTCCAGATAGCCGATATAGTAGACTTTTTTCCATTCACCTTTCGCTCAAAATATTACGCGCATGAAATCACGCAAGCACATATGTACACATACGACTAAGGAAACACACGGAAGAATAAAAGATGAATCCCAATTCACACATGAATAGAGCGCACAGTGCCCCAGCAATATTATAATTGAAAGGGCGAGAAGGGCGAGAAGGGCGAGAAAGGCGAGAAGGGCGAGAGAGGCGAGACAAGGAAGTGGGCACATACTTCATCGCAATAAGCTTGCACTGCTCCGATCTGCAAAAATTGGAGCGATTTGCCCAGAACCTTAGGGAGTGAGAGTCAGAGTTGAGGTTTTGATAGGCAAATAAAAGAGGGAGAATTAAAGGCCCGTTTGTCCTATTCTAGAGAATATGGCTCAGGAAATCGGAAGTGTGTAAACAATCTCATGCACTGAAAGGACACTTCCTCAAGTTTGGGAACATGTTCTTACGCCAAAGGTGTAAGTGAATCTATTAAAAAACATCACGGCCACTTTAGACGCGACCACCCCCGTTGTAGAGAGGAATAAACTAAGAAGTCTTGGCTTTGCAGAGTTGAAGAGTTTAGTCGCAATAAATAGATAAGTAAGAAAATAACTAGAGTCATGAGTCAGAGTGGTACAAAAGTACAGGTGTTTGCGGAAGTGATATCCGAAACATTCGGGCTCATCAACACCTTTGTACGGCAGGGGTTCAGCATTTAGGGTGATTTCTGCTATTGTAGATCAAGTCACCAAGGTGACAATAATCGTTTGTGGGCAGAAAAAGCACACTCGGTATTAGGGGGAGTAATTATTTACCACTCTTATTTATAATTCCACAAATAGCAGAATGGCAAGGACACAAGGAGAAATGCTTAAGAAACTAAGTGCTGAGACGCGATCTAAATCTAGTTCGCTTGAGAAAATCTAACATTAGCCTAGGTGTTGGAAGCCAAATTAACCCAAGAAATTGTTCGTTCACGAAGTTAGATTTAGATAAACTGTGGCATATCGACGTTTTTGGAATCTCCATTTTGTGCTAGATGCATATAAGAATATATAGCCCTCGTGGATTGCCCTTAATTTTTTTACAATTCTACTGAATTGCAGTGTCTCTTTGAGCGTAGTCTGAATATGATAAGTGCAGAGTGAGTGTTTTATTAGACTTGTTAAAGCCATTCCATGTGAGGATACCCGTACGGTGGGAGACAAATATACTGGTAGGACAATTTTGAAAGACAATTTCATTCACGAAATGAAAAGAGTAAAGCTGTGGGTTCTAATGTAAGTAGTTTGACTTAACTTAAGGCACAATATGATAAACTAAATTAGGAAGATATTTAGTCTGAGTGAGGATTACCATATGGCGAAACTATAACACATTTTTCCTTAAAAATTATTACAATGAATTAATGAAAGTTAAAGGATTTTCAAAGACCCGATGACCATTTTTAAAGTAATTAAAGTCTAATCATTAGGACTACTTTTGGAGGATATCTGATCAGCAAAGATGGAGCTTTGAAACGATATTCTTGAAGATAAGGAGTGGAATTAAGTTTAAAGCAGAGAATAAACCCTGCACATGTGGACACACGCGTGCACCTACGCATAGTTTTAGAGTCTGAGGGTGAACCGGGTTGTAAAAGTAGAAGGAAAAGCGCAAGAAGCAAGTAAGATGTACAGGGGCAAGCGGGTGGGATAGAGATGAGGAAAGGAGAGGTGGACAAAGTGAATCAGTGGGCGATTGAAGCACAGTTGAATGGAAGGAGACAAACAAAAGGGACGATAAACTCCGAGACGAAGGGGCTGAAGGTCGCCTCCAACCAGGCCAAGGCAGAACAGTCGTTTAGACATGAGATCGGCCAGTAATAGTGAGGGGAAAAGATAAATTGCTGTGTGCAGACGAGACCAGAGGGGCTGGTTAAGCAGGAGTAGACGATCCGCCAGAGATAGACACAGAACGAGTGTGAGGGTGTGTGAGAAAGAGAGAGGGAGACAAATGCCGTAGAGAGGAGCACATAACGAACAAACTTTGGAGAAGTTAAGGTCGGTAGGAAAGAGGGAAAGAGAGAATGAGGAAGCACCCTTGGCAAGCAAACGAACTGACAGGCGAAGAGGGCAAGAGGGTCCAAGTGTACGGATGTGTCATTTGGCCGACTAGACGGGCACAGAAAATCAATGTACAAAATCACAGGTATGAGAATGAACCTAACTGGTGGGGCCAAAATAATCTCTAAAAGGCGATTGGGGAGAACTGCAGCACATGAGTTCTAAAGGTAAACCAAGAGCATACAAAAGTGTGTCAAGCTGTTAAGCCGGTTAAGAAAGACAAGCTATTACAAATTGGGAGAATTGAGAATATTTGAGAGGTACAAGTCAAAGCACACTTCTTACAATCGCCGCAAATAGCAGGGAGAATGTCCAAAGAAGGGTAGAAAGGATGGCCTGACAACAGGCTAGCCAATCGGATGAATGGAAGCATGCTCTCTTGGTATAGACATCAGAACCACCTCAGTAAGAGGCAAGCCAGGAAGCTTAGGAAGACGAGACAGGACGCTTTAAGGGTGAGTGTGAATATGAAAGCGTGTTCTTGGGCTAGCCGACTAAATTAGAGGGCCTGCCATTCGAGAGTGAGAGTAATAGTGCGCATAAACACATCTATGCACATCAATCGCACACGTACAAAAGGGGATCAGAACGTGGCAGGACAGAAACAGTTCTCGCTCGGAAAAACATTATACCGGTTCCTGAGATTCTCGGCTTCTCGCGCTGACATACTCGTGGCTTGGAAAAACGTAAGGAACTGCAACAGCGTCAGGCTTTTACGGAGAACACGGAGAGCGCAACTATAGACGACGACAGTGGTTCAAGCACGCATAGTAGAAACCAGGCATCAGCATTCTAATAGGCAATAAACTCAATCACAAATGGTCGGGATTATGTAGAGCAGATAACGAGCTGGCAAGAGAGAGAAAAGCTGCTGCCTAGGGCTCATGTCTAAATAGGAGCAGAAAGGTAAGGTTAGGTAGATAGACGGAAAGAAATATAAACAAACCGAAACAGACACACAGGCTAACAGAGGGGTTAGAAAGAGCTCGAGGATTGAGACAAAGGATGAAGATACTCCAGGACCAGCTGCCATCCGACCACTCAGTTACTAATGCAGTCAGGTAGCTAGGGGAGCACTTTGTAACTTAGCCGGGCAGTCACTGAGTGCAGAAAGAGAAGGCAGAGCAGTCGTAGAAAGGGTGAACAGCAGGGAACGAAAGGAATGCATCGTACACAAGAATCCTGCTTGAGAAAGATCGGCCAGCACAACATGCCAAGACGTCCGATTTCGGCCTTCCACTACTGGATGGCTTCATTGGATGAGATGCCTGTGCCCTAATATATGGGATGTGCTGCAATCTATGTCTGTACATGTATGAATGATGCCGATGAAAGAAGGACGTACGCAAAGAAGCCGTTTAAGTGCAGATACCAGAATGAGGCAAATTGAACGCTGATGGGCACATTTACTCGCAGAATAATGCTTGCGCTTTGTATTCACTGCTATCTTCTCCTTTGTTGTATAGCTTACAAGCGACCTTGGTAAAAAGGTCGATCGTTTGGGTAGAGAATAGCGAAACGTTCGCTACTACCTTTAGAGTCGGATGCATGGAAAATTGATTAGAAACAACTGTTAGAAGATATATAACAAGGAAAGTTGGAGGAGATAAATGATTCTCTAATATTTCAAATGAGAAAAGGGTTGATCATTGGGCTACAGAGCTTAAATGTCAGAATAAAAGCCCGCCTCAAATCAAGAGACGGGCGACTTCGGGATTCTGTGGAGCACTTTGTATATAGCTACTAAGCTCCACCATTGATACAATGTAGGATAAAGCGATAAAATAGTCTA